ACGCCAGCTGAGCCGGGTTAGTGGTTTAAAACAGATATTGTCAGGCCCCTTATTACAGCTTCTCGTCTTTTAAGGCAACAGGTTTGGTAAGGCCAAGTGAAGAATGGAGTTTTTAAGAAATCTTTGCAGTTGTGCACTCTAATTTATTCTTCCTCTAAGGGAACTCGTTTTAGTTAAGTAAATAATTTACCGTAATATAATAATTCCCCTACTATCTGTGTCTACTATGTTCCGGACGAGTACTTTTTTCAATTAGACTTCGGAATAGTATTTTCTGTCAACCAACACTCAGGCACGCTGAGTTGTCTTCTAAGATGAATTACAAGTTAAGCTTATACAAGCTCAGGTGTTTATCACTGACATCGACTGGTGTTCATTGACTCTAGTTTACCATGAGCAGGAAACAGCGACTGGCTAAAAGTATATATATAAAAAACACGAGCAGTTTCGACTGCCTTAACTACAGTCTTCAACGAACGAAATGGTATAAAGTAGCTCAGAAATGCTGCTCCCGAAATTTATTCAAAATTAATTTACCTATGTTAAAGGATATGAAGTCCGTGTTTCGTTGTCTTTTGCTATAAATGAAAACTATTTCTTGAAATATAAGCTTATGGAAACCAAATTCATTTATTGTATTCTGCATGAATGCATTGAGTTTAAACGCAAAATATTTGATAAGCTTAAAGGAGTAGGTCACTCCAAAAACCGTGTATTTTTTTCCATCACCAATAAAAATTTCACATTGAGTTGAGTTACTCACCGTTGTTTTAGCTTCTGAAGTGGATGCGATCCCAATGAAAAAGAAGTGAAAAGTTCGACACCGGGAGCCGCCATTTTGAAAGGATCTTAAAGGCCAGGCCGCATATCCGTGACGTCATTCCGTCCGAGAATGTGTTTGTCCTTTTAAGCTTTAGTATGGCTGCGCTTGAAGCCAGAACGTGCTAGTGATTCCGCGGATGATAATAATTAAGTTGAATGGAATGATCGGTTGGAAAATGCTCTGTGGT